ATGACACTTAGCTCTTGGGGAAGCATTTCTGGCTTGGTGTCAGAGCTTGAATGGCTTCGACTTTCAGATATCGCTCAGGTTCCCATAAAGAGCCTACGAGGTTGATTCAACTTTAGCAGGATATGGAGTGAAGGCACCTGAGAGCTGCTTTGTCTTAGTCATCTAGTGCTACTGTAACAGAAATACCACAAGTGGATGGTTTTAACAAAGAAAGATTTATTTTCTCACAGTCTAGCAGGCTACAAGTCCAAATTCAGGGCATCAGCTCTAGGAGAAGGCTTTCTCTCTCTGTCGGCTCTGGAAGAAGGTCCTTGTGATACATCAATCTTCCGTTGGTCTGGGAGCATCTCCAGTACATGAACCTCAGGTCCTAAGGACGTGCTCTGCTCTTGGCACTGCTTTCTTGGTGGTATGAGGTTTCCATGAGTCTCTGCTCACTTGTCTCTTTTATATCACAGAAGAGATTGGCTTAAGACACTATCCAATCTTGTATACCTCATCAGTATAACTGCCACTAATCCATCTTATTACATCACAGTGATAGCGTTTACAACATATAAGGAAATTACATCAGATTACAAAATGGTGCACAATCATACAATACTGGGAATCATGACCTAGCCAAGTTGACAGATATTTTGGGGGGACACAATTCAATCCGTGACATGCATTATAGTGAAGACATTGTCACCGTCCCAGTATGGAAGACACTCCCCCTTATTTTGGCCATCTCCTCCTCCCTCAACGTAAAGAGAACAAAAATCCTCACTACTGGACCAATAAGCAACAGCATGATGAACAGAGAAAAGACGGAAGTTGTCAAGGATTTCATTTTACTTGGATCCACAATCACCACCCACGGAAGCAGCAGTCAGAAAATCAAAAGACACGCTGCATTGGGCAAATCTGCTGCAAAAGGCCTCTTTAAAGTGTTGAAAAGCAAAGATGAAGACTAAGGTGTGCCTAACCCAAACCATGGTATTTTCAATCGCCTCATATGCATGCGAAAGTTGGACTATGAATAAGGAAGACCGAAGAATTGATGCCTTTGAATTGTGGTGTTGGAGAAGAACATTGAATATACCATGGACTGCCAAAAAATGAACAAATCCGTCTTGGAAGAAGCACAACCAGAATGTTCGTTAGAAGCAAGGATGGCGAGACTTTGTCTCAAGTACTTTGGACATGTTATCAGGAGGGACCAGTCCTTGGAAAAGGGCATCATGCTTGGTAAAGTAGAGGGTCAGCGAAAAAGAGGTAGACCCCCAATGAGATGGAATGACACAGTGGCTGTAGCAATGGGCTCAAGCATAACAATTATAGTGTTTTGTTCTGTTGTACGTAGGGTTGCTATGAGTTGGAACCGACTTGACGGTACCTAACAACAACAACTGGTAAAGGATGGATAGATGTGATGCAAGAAAGAAGTGGCAATGAAACTGCATTTTCACTAAAGACTCCGCAGCCCTCCTCACATTGCCATCTCCACCATCTTTCCATACATTTTATTGAGAAAATGGTCTAAACTTTCCTATAAATAGGAAATCATGGAAGGTCACACGGGCTCAGTTCATTGAAATTGGGATATTAGCCCTTGTTCTGAGTCTCTCCTGGAAGACCATGGGCACAGGCTTGGTAGTAATTGCTGAGGAGAGCAGCCTTGTATTGTATGACCACCAAGCTCCATTTGTTGCAAATGACTAACACAAGCTTTTCAGTCATGATGGTTGTAAAATTCCCATTGCAACCAGCTTCCAACTTACCTCATGTATTCTGCACTAAATTTCTTTGCTTCTCTGAGTTTTGTCTTAGAAACATCTATCACTGTTCAGCTTTCATAGCTGCTCAATTCCATACTGTCACAGCTCCTTGTTCTCATGGATGGAGACACCACCAAAAGCACAACCAGCTGCTTGACCCAGAGGCCCTCCCACAATGCTCTCCTCACATGACCTATGTGTGTGGTTGCAGCAAAGTATAAAGGGAAATAAAGGGAAAGGGTTGGGAAGGTTTAATTGAGGATAGGGTACCGAAGCTTAGAGTCATCAATCAGTGACTCACTAGTCTTGCTATTCAAAAGTGTCTCCTAAGGAAAGCTACTTTCACTCTTTATCTTCAGGGCTTGCTACTACATTTCATGTCATCTCAACAAACAGTTACAGAGTACCTGTGTCAGGTCCTGTGCTAGGTGCTGGAGATACAGAGATGTAGCTGACATGTTTCCTACCTACGAAGAACTTTCAGTCAAGTGGAGGAACACAGTCATAATTTTCCCTCAAATTTAATTTTTTCCATCTCATTCATTCTCACTTTTAACAAACAGTTGAGAGTCTACCATGGGCCAAACACTGAGTTAGGGTACTGAGATGAACAAAATAGACATGGACCATAACTTCACGGAGCTTTCTCACAAACACTGAAGTTTGTGGGCGTCAGTGTTTGACCAAGGAATGCAACGGGTGCAAAGGGTTATGGGTGGTGCTGTTCTGACGCTCAAAATGGGACTACAATTTCCCCCTTTGTGAACAAAAGACTGTCTCTACTTCCTTAAGAAAGTATTCTGGGCCAGAACTCCCTGCTTGGCTTCAAATGAGTTAAGAAGAACTCAGCCAGCCCCAATTTTCATCTACTTCTTCAAGCTGTCTGTGGTCTCAGGGGAGCCTGGGTTCTTGCTGCAACTAATTGCTAAAATCAAGGACTGCCTATTGCTTCACCCCAAATCATACCTGACCCTGAAGCCAATTCCACAGTCTACTAAGTCACACATGAAGAAGACATTTTTAAAAACACCAGAAATGTGTTTCCCAGCCATAGTGATCATCGTTATTCTACCTTGTGACAGGATGGAAGTGCAGCTAAAAATAACCTGAGGTTTATTTGACCAAAGTCTGGCCTTCCTATCAGGAGAAAGCCATTCTGTTTTCTCAGCTTAATCATGAGGAAGAAAAACAAACAAGCAAGTGGAACACAAAACTTAAAAAGAGATAGAGAGAAAGCTTGGGTTGTTTGAAATGCCTCTAGAGCCTCCGCACACCCATGTGTGCCTGGGTGTGTGGAAAGATCCGGAAGAGGGGTTACTGGGGGAAATGGGGCTGTGTGTGTGCTTCTGTGCATTCCTGGGTTTAGGGGTCTGTTTCTAGGTACGTGTCTATGAAGTGTCTGGGATCGTATACAGGCTGTTTGCGTCTGCAGGTACTTGCTGTATACGTGCGCATTTGTCTGAAGGTATTTATGCATGTTGCCGTATGAGTGAGAGTGAGTGCGTGAGCGAGTGAGTGAGTCACTTCAGTTATTTGCTTATAAAAACCCGAATCCGTCATTAATTCCCAGCAATACCAAGAGAGAACTGCATATCCCCAGGGAATTTGTTTATCTCTAACACCTCTAGCTCTTTGAATTAAAATTAAAACGCAGAGTTGGGCTCCTAAGGAGTACTTGTTAATTGACCAACTAGCAACAGATTCTTGGATCTGAAGCTGTGGCATTACTTGTCAGCAAGTTGAGCGGGAGAATCTCGACATACAGGCTTCTTGCTGTCCCTATGAGAGAGTCATCTCCTCTATCCCTCCTATGTCAAACATGAGCTCACACTAAGTGCTAGAGAAGCCATGAAGACTTGGTACTTGCCTTCAGGGTGTTCACAAAGAGCCTACTACATGGCTGTATACTTCTCTTTATTCCACACTTGAAAGACAAAGTTCAGAGCTCAACCTTCCCCTTGCCCGGTCTCACAACTACTCACTTACTAATGACTCCCTCTCCTGAAAACTAGCCCGGTTCTCAACTGTCTCCTAGACCACTGATCAAAAAGCCATGTAAAGTCAACAGGCCTAAATCAACTCTCAGCCATCAGTCTTTTCCCCCTGCAGTCCACCCTGCGCAGATTGGCAGAGCAATTATTCTAAAGCAATACTTGTATATTTTCATTGTCCTACTCAAATCCATTCAATGGTGTTGTATCACCTACAGGACAAACTCCACTACTTCCCTATACAATTGTTTGCATTTATCCAACAAGTAGAAAGAATCCTTGTCCCCTGATAAGTAGTTAGCCCACTGAAAATGGAGATACTGGAGAAATTTAAGTAGCGAACATGAACATTTTGTATTCTTTCAACATATTTTCCCTGATTTTAATATTTTTCTTTTCAACACAAAGTCACTCATTCAACAAGAATTTATAGATACCTAATAACTTCCAGGCTCGCAGAGCAGATAATAGCTTCTTTGTTTCCCTAAATCACAGTTATTCAATCAAATGTCTGATACTTAGTAGTTATTGATCAGGTGGCCCATTGAGGGGGAGCGAGGATCTTGCCTCAAGTCTTCTCTGCATTCTTTGCTTTAGCAGCAAAGGAGAATAGTGGGAGGAGGGGTAATCCTTACAGATGGCTCATGAGTCAACCTCTTGCTAGCTCTTCTGTGCCCTGCCCTATGCTTTGAATCTGCACCATAGCTCTCCCCCTGCTCACATATGTAGAATAACCAGTTTCCAGAAGTTGTTTAGATTTTTCCTCCCAACACTTTGCATCACCCTGGTCAGACCATGTCCCCAGTGACTGAAACGCTGCCTAGGTGGACAGGGCCCAGTGGCAAGAAACAGGCTTCTCGGTTGACACCACTAGCTGCTTGACCCAGAGTCCCTCCCACAATGATCTCCTCATATGACCTATCTGTGCTAATAAGTGTGTGGTGTCAGCAGCCTGTGAAGGGAATGGTTAGGGAAGGTTTAATTGAGGATAGGGAACTAAACAGAGTTTTGAAAGATGTGTTGTAAAAGGAAGGGAAGGATACCCCTGATGGGCACATATGCTTTATATGTGAACAGGTGGGGAGAGGAGGGAAAAGATAGTTTGGGCTAAATGTAGGGGGTGAGGGTAGGGAGTTCATATAAGACAAGACTTCTCCTCAGAGCATAGCTATAAGGCCCTGCCATAGAAAAAACCCAATTTATTTTCTTTGATCTGTTTCACTTTTACCTTTGCAAGAACTATACTTACCATGTCAGTGTCTGACACGGGGCCAAAACTGGTCACATAGATGTCAGTCTTGACTTCAGTCACAGCATCTGAGCCAAAGAAAGTGGAAAAGCGGAGTGTCATGAAAGCCTGTTGCCTAGTTCAGAGAGAGTCCAGTGCAGTACTCTGAATGACAGCTAACTTGCTACTTCTGGGAAAGTGTACTTGGCACAGCCACAGGAAAACCCCTCTAAAACCTCTTACCTGTACTGTTTCTTCAAGAACATGTTAGGTACAGTTACAAAGTGTATCCCTTTAGATATCATTGAGAATTACAGCAGAATCTAAAATATCAAAGCTCAGGGAGGTGTTTTAGAGACCCCTGATAGTCCCACATGCTGGGCTCCCACACTATGCCTACCCTTACCTGTGGTAGGTTACAAATGCTCCAATATTCGGGAACGCAGGAGGATTGCACTCCCCTAGGCCCTTAAAGTAGGGCAAGGCCATGTGACTGGTTCTAGTTGTGGGAGGAAGTACTTGTGTACTTCCCTGGCAGGAACACTAATTTCCAATGCAAGACTCTCCCTGCTATGGTGATAATGGAAACACACATTGATGTGGAGCTACCATAAGATGAAAACAGCCTAGAAAGATGTGTCAATACATGAAGGGCAATTGCCCTGGATAGGTGTCTTGATCCACAATAGACTGCACTGAGTGAGAAATAAACTTTTGTTGGGTTAAGTGACTGAGATTTGGAAATGATTGGTATCACTTGATACTCTATATTTACAGTTGTCCCTTAGTATCCATGGGAGATTGGTTCCAAGACCCCCAAAATACCAAAATCCAAGGATGCTCAAGTCCCTTATATAAAATGGCATAGTATCTGCATATAACCTACACACATTCTCCCATATACTTTAAATAATCTCTAGATTACTTATAATACCTAATACAATATAAATGCTATGTAAATAGTTGTTAATGCTTACACTTAACACTTAATGTTTTCTCAGTCTTTGAAAGCATTTTATCACAAACCAGAGAGATCATTTTTGCCATTGTAGGGGCAGCAATAACTCTTCCAGGAATTTCAGTTTCTTTCTGCTTTATTGTGCAAATGCTCGATTTATTCTTACCGACCTTATGGCCCACTTTGGCAAGCAACATGCCACCTTTCAAAAAATCTAAGATTTTTATTTTCTGGAGAGATAGCACTGTAGGCTCCCTCTTAGCCTTTGAGGGGTTGCTTTCACCACTTCGTGGCTTTATAAGAGCCATTTTTTCACAGACAAACAATGCACACAACAGAAGTAATGAACAATCGAGACACGAGGCGAACAATGCTCAAACAACGAGTGCTGGAGAGAGACTGAGGCTCTGTGAAATGGTGGAAAGCTACAGAAAGTTATGTCTACACATCACTTCATTCCCATGAATTCAATGCAGTGCTCGGCATGCAGCAAATACAAGTTTTCCTTTTTGAAACTTTCTTTTTTTTTAAATATTTTCGATCCACGGTTGGTTTAATCTGCAGACGTGGAACCCATGGATATTGAGGGCTGACTATATTTTCCTTTATTGTAACTCTCTGTTTACTCATCTGCCTTCCCACCTAATCCAAGAACTTCTGAAGGGCAGTGTTTCGTTATCTCTCTATCCTCAGTACATAAAAAAGGGCTTGTTCCCCTAAAAAGATAAAATACTTAGGAGTAAATCTAACCAGGGATATAAAAGACCTATGCAAAGAAAACTACAAAACACTACTGCAAGAAACCAAAAGAGAACTACATAAATGGAAAAACATACCATGTTTATGGATAGGAAGAGTCAACATTGTGAAAATGTCAATTCTACCCAAAGCGATGTACAGATATAGTACAATTCTGATCCAAAACCAACAGCATTTTTTAACGAGATGGAAAAATTAATCACCAGCTTTATATGGAAAAGAAAGGCCCTGGATAAGCAAAACATTACTGAAGAAGAAGAACAAAGTAGCAGGCCTCACACTACCTGATCTCAGAACCTACAACGCAGCTGCTAGTCAAAACAGCCTGGTACTGGTACAATGACAGACACATAGACCAATGGAACATAATTGAGATACCAGATGTAATTCCATCCACCTATGATCAGCTTATCTTTGACAAAGGACCAAAGTTCATTACATGGAGAAGAGACAGTCTTTTTAACAAATGGTGCTGGAAAAACTGCATGTCTATCTGTAAAAAAAAAGAAAAGAAAGAGGACCCATATCTCACACCATACACAAAAACTAACTCAAAATGGATCAAAGATCTAAACGTTAACACCTAAAACGATAAAGATCATGGAAGAAAACACAGGGAAAATGCTAGGGTCCCTAATACATGGCATAAATACAATACAAACCATGACTAACTGCACAAAAATCAGAAGATAAACTAGATAACTGGGAGCTCCTAAAAATTAAACACTTATGCTCATCAAAAGACTTCATCAAAAGAGTAAAAAGAGAACCAACAGACTGGGAAAAAAGTTTTGGCTAAGACTTATCTGACAAGGGTTTAATCTCTAAAATCTATAGAATACTTCAACACCTCTACAACAAAAAGACAAACAATCCAACTAAAAAATGGGCAGAGGATATGAACAGACACTTCCCCAAGGAAGACATTCAGGCAGCTAACAGACACATGAGGAAATGCTTGCAATCATTAGCCATTAGAGGAATGCAAATCAAAACTACAATGAGATACCATCTCACCTCAACATTACTGGAACTAATCAAATAAATAGAAAATAACAAATGTTGGAGAGGTTGCTGGGAGATTGTAACTCTTATGCACTGCTGGTGGGAATGTAAAATGGTACAACCACTATGGAAAACGATACGGTGCCTCCTTAAAAAGCTAGAAATAGAAATATCATTTAAAAAAAATCTGTTGCCGTCGAGTCAATTCCGACTCATGTCAACCCTATAGGACAGAGTAGAACTGCCACACAGGGTCTCCAAGGAGCAGCTGGTGGATTCAAACTGCCAATCTTTTGGTTAGCAGCCCAGCTCTTAACCACTGCACCACCAGGGCTCTGCAATCCCACTCCTAGGAATATATTCTAGAGAAATAAGAGCTGTCACATGAATAAACATATGTACACCCATGTTCATTACAGCATTATTCTTAACAGAAGAAAGATGGAGACAACCTAAGTGCCCATCAACAGATGAATGGGTAAGCACATTATGGTACATACACGCAACGGTATACTATGCAACAATAAAGAACGATGATGACTGCGAAATATCTCACAATACGGATGAATCTGGAAGGCATTATGCTGAGTGAAATAAGTCAATCACAAAGGACAAATATTGTATGAGTCCACTATTATAAAACCCAAGAAAAGGTTTACAAACAGGATGTTTACGAGGGAGAGGAGGGGTAGGGAGGGGAAGTCATTAACTAGATAGTAGATAAGTGTTAACTTTGGTGAAGGGGAAGAGAACACACAATATAGGGGAAGTCAGCACAGCTTGACCAAGGCAAAATCATAGAAGCTTCCTAGACACACCCAAACACCTTGAGGGACTGAGTTACTAGGGCTGAGGGCTGGGTACCATAGTCCCGGTGGACATCTAGGTCAACTGGCATAACAGTTCATAAAGAAAATGTTCTATCTACATCCTACATTGATGAGTAGCGTTTGGGGTCCTAAAAGCTTGCAAGCAGCCATCTAAGATACATCTATTAGTCCCATCCCGTCTGGAGCAAAGGAGAATGAAAAAAACCAAAGACACAAGGAAAATATTAGTCCAAAGGACTAATGGACCACATGAACCACGACCTCCACCTGCCTGAACCCAGAAGAACTAGGTGGTGCCTGACTACCACCACCGACCACTCTGACAGGGAACACAATAGAGAGTCCCGGACAGAGTGGGAGAAAAATGTAGAACAAAATTCAAATTCACAGAAAAAAGACCAGACTTCCTGGTCTGACAGAGACTAAAGGAACTCCCTAGACTACGGCCCCTGGACACCCTGCTAACTCAGAACTGAAGTCACTCCCGAAGTCTACCTTTCAGTCAATGATCAAGCAGGCCTATAAAACACACAACACAAGTGAGGAAGTGCTTCTTAGTTCAATCAAGTATATGAAACCAAATGGGCAACACCTGCCCAAAAGCAAAGAGGAGAAGGCAGGAAGGGACAGGAAAACTGGACGAATGGACATGGAGAACCCAGAGTGGAAAGGGAAAGGGGGAGAGCACTGACACATTACGGGAATTGCAACCAATGTCGCAAAACAATTTGTGTATAAATTTTTAAATGATTAACTAATTTGTGCTGCAAATTTTCGCCTAAAGCACAATAAATTTTTTAAAAATCCTGAAAGAAAAGGTGGGGGAGGCTTGTTACTCAGACGGTATTCACCGAACATTTTTGGTATGTTGGATGAATTCCATCACATATCTTATAAGGTGGAAAGTAATACTCAGAGAAGTGAATTTATCCCACTACTGAGTTTGTCTTTCTTTTGTTTCTGTCTGAACCCTGTTTACCGTAACCATTACAGCCCATTCTAGCCCACTTACTCCAGCACGCCACAAACAGAGCGTAAGCCAGGGTAGCCTACCCTAGCCTAGCAAAGCTCGTTCCAGCCTACCAAACACCACATCATTACAGTAAATTCAAATAAGTCCCACTCCAGCCCAGCATACCTGACCCCAGTAGAGCCCACCAGTAGCACAGCTAACACCAAGAAAGCCCACACAAGACTTGATGTGTGTGTATCATGGAGCTGGTTACTGCAGTCTATGGCACTATTTCCTTTCTCTCATGGAGAGTTAGGGAACACACTTATTACATATGAAGCATATTCACCCTACTCACCCATCCCTGTGTTCTGACCCAGATGTACTTTTGATCTTGTTGACTTCCCATTTCCCAGAACCACCTCTTAGGCTTAATATACTGTGCTCCTTCCTACTCAGGCACTGATGTGTTCAATATACTCAAGGCCACTACTCTCATCCACAAACATTCCGTTTTCAGAAGAGACCATGAGTACCATTTAATAATAATCCACACTATAATCAACTCACCAAAAGACACAATTT